CAACATCAAATCCTATATCCAGCAAGATTATCTTTAACAACTGAAGGCAACCATCATCTACTGTATTGCTTGTGGGAATAAAAAATAGACCACCTGTTCTGCAATAAGCTTGTCAGATTCTCAAAGAGCTAAGCATGGTTATCCAGCAATTCCACTCCAAGATGAATGAAAACACATGAAACCTGTACATGAGTGCTGCTGTGGTTGAATATAGCTTGTCCCCTCCAAAAGTCATGTTGAAATTTAATGCATGGTGTGAGATAGTAAAAGGTGACTGGGGTCTACACTCATGAGGGGATTAATTCATTCATGTGCTTAATAGGTTAATGAATTATCTCAAGTGTGGGTTTGCTATAAAGGCCAGCTTGGCTAGTTTTCCAGCGTGTTCCCTGCCTCTCACTATGTGAGGTTCTGTGCCACTCTGGGACTCTGCCAGCCAGAAGGTCACCACCAACTGCAGCCATTTGACCTTGGGCCCGAGAACAAATGTCTTTTCTTTATAACTTACCCAGTCTGTGGTATTTTGTTGTGAATAACAGGAAATGGACTAAGACAAATACTCAGAGACAAGCAGTGTAAAAAAATTCAAACAATGATAACATGATGAGTGGATAAGTTAATATGATATAATGGAATATTATTCAATACTAGAAAGGATTAAAGTACTGATACATGGCACAACGTGGATGCATTTAAAACACATTCTGCTAAGTAAAAAGCCATTGCAAAGAACCACATATTGTATGCTTCCATGTATATAAAATGTCCAGAAGAGGCAAATCTATGCGGATAGAATGTTTATTGGCTCCGTGGGGCTGGGAGAGGGCAGAGCCCACAGGGCGGGACTGCATCGGTTTCCTAGGGCTGTGGGCAGCTTTAAAGAGCAAGTTTATGTTCTCACAGTCTTGGGAGCTAGAACTCCAGATTCAAGGTTTTGGCAGTGCTGTCCCCTCTCCAAAGCCTATGGGAGAGGACACTTCCTTGCCTCTTTTAGCTTTCGGTAGCCCCAGAGTGCCTCAGCTGTGGCTGCTGCCATCTTCCCTCTGTGTCTGTGTCTAGCTGCACACGGTGTTCCTCCCTGTGTGAGTCTGTGTCCAAGTCTCCCTGTTCTTGTAAGGATACCAGTCATGTTGGAATAAGGCCCATCCTAATGACTTCATCTCAACTGGATTACATCTGCAGAGACTCTATTTCCAAATAAGGTCACACTCAAGGTACAGAGACTTAAAACTTCAGTGTATCCTTCTGGAGTTGAGTTTCATCCCATAGACTAATTAGTACCCAGTCTTCTAGGGTGTGAGAAAATGCTCTAAAACCGATTATGGTGATAGTTACATAACTGCTTGAATATTCTAAAAACAAATAAATAGTACATTTTGAATGGGTGAATTGTACGTGTGAATTATATCTTAATAAACTTGCCTTTAAAAAGGAAAGAGAAATAAGGACAGTCCCAGATATGGGGGGGTTCATTAAAAGAAATATTAAAAGAAGTTTTCCAGGCTAAAATGTAGTGACCCCAAACATAATTTGAATTCACACTAAAAGCAGAGAGAATTTCAGTAAAGGTTATGATGTAGGTAATGATAAAATGCACTGATTATAGATTTCTATTTCTTCTTCTCTGTGATGATATAAAAAGCAACCACATGTGAAAGATAGAGATCCATATGTGCACCTTTACCCACATGAATCCAGAATGGCCTCAGAGTTCCTCCTGACTGTCAGCCCTTCCTTGGACTGTGTCTGTGACTTCCAAGCTGCTCCCTGGTCCTGAGACTTCCTAGTCTCATGAAATATTGGCTTATTGAGTCTGGAATTATCCTGCGACTACCTTCTCCTAAAATGGAAACCAAATAACTATTTTTGAGGCATTTATAATTGCTTTTAATATTGATTGAGAAACTACATACCTTCTCTGCTAAAGGAAAAAAGTAACTTTAAAAGCAAATCACACTTTCTAAACAACAGAAATGTTTGGCTGTGGTTGAAAACTAAAGGTTAAGGATAAAGGTTCATTTTCTTAGATGCAATTCCCCTGGCCTTGGTCTTGCCTTGGGCAGCACACAGAGATTTCTAAAAGCAAAGGTCAGCATCTGTCTTAGAACTGACCAGTCTACAGATAATGCAATATTTTTTAATGGCATCAACTTATTTCAAACTATTTTTGTTAGCAGTTCTGGGTCTTGAGTGGGAAATTATTCTTGGCTTTGCCTAAATTATACCAGCATTGTTGTTTTTTAAAAATTTACATTCATCTTAGGGGGTAGGTCCCTACACCTAACATATCTTAATTCTTATTATTTCCCTTCCTCTCCCTTCCTGCCATCCTCTCTCAATCTCTCCCCATTTACAATAGATCTATGTCCCTGTTTCCTATGCTCTGTCTTTTATTTTGTTTTTTATTTGTTTTTGAGATGTCTTATTGATGTGTCTGATTTTGATTGAGCTCTGTAGTATCTTTTTTCATCTAGAGACCAAATGAGATCTATTCATGGGTGTGAACATTGTAAGAATCCCATGTTCTATTGCCATTTTTGCAGTAGCATCCACTGGAGATCCACACAAGTGTGTATTATGAAATGGTGGGTTTCATGTTAGCACTAAAAGGTCAAGCTAAGTGCTTGGCAACCTAAATGCCTCTCTCTTGCCTCTATGCTTCCAAGCCAAGCTGTGCAGTACCCTTGAATGGTTGTCACAGGGGGCCATGAGTATGATAGGGCTGAAGTCACATGGGGCATCTGAGGAGAGAACACAGGTGCTCTCCTTCCATTGTGAGGGGACCATATCCTGCAGATCTGTGGGCCCAGCAGGGAGGCCCAAGAGTAGCAGATTTGGTGGGGGAACTTGGCAACTAGGGACCTGAGAGGACTCAGGGAAGTCTTAAGCTGCCAGTTCTTCATGATCCCTGCCAGTTCATGCTGTGGGGATCTGCAGAAAGGGTGAACTATGTGTTTTCTACTTAAAGTTGGGAGAATGGAGGGAAGGGTGGGAAAGCCCTAGAGAAATTTCACCCAGCTATTTCATAATGGAGCTGACAGCCAGCCTCAGGCACGGGCCTCTGGCCTGTCACTGCAGTGGGATTCCTCTGTGGCCCACATTCCAGCTCTGTGAGCTCACAGAGCAAGAGCACTGCACACCTGGGAGGCCCAGCTCCAGCTCAGCCTGGCTGAACATCTGATGAAAGTGTCCTGTTTGGGGGCATTTACTAAAGTGGAGCCTTCACTGGGCAGCTAAGCACACAGCCAGACTCAGCATTCTTAGCTTTATGGGCTAGGCAGGTGGTCTCAGCCTAAAAGCCCGATGTCAGCCATGTGATTTACATTCCATACCACCTTCCTTAACCACCCCACCCACCCACCCCACAATTTCTCTAAAGGGGAAAAAGAAAGCCAAACATGAGAAAGCATATTTATTATTCTATTTTGCATTATTATAACAACATACCTGAGGCAGGCTCACTTTATAAAGAGGTGACTTAGCTCATAGGTCTGGAAGCTCAAGGGCATGAAGCTAGCATTGGCTCAGCAGAGTGAGGGCCCTGTGGGCTGTTTCCTACCTTGAGAGATCATATTGAGGCAGGAGTGTGTGTGTGAAAGGAAGAGACCATGTAGTCACAGAGGAAGTGGGAGAGAAGGGAGGAGCCAGCCTCTAGAAGCACCTCCCACTAGGCCCCACTTAGAAAGGTCCCACCTTCCAGATCAGTACACTGGAGCCCAGGCTTCCAGCACAGGGCCCTCTGGGGGCATGCCCACACCACAGCCAAACTATAGAGCATGGGAAGAGTTTATCATTTCGTTTACACCTGCTCAGGAGACTCCCAGAAAGACCCCTGTACCTTTTTTTCTTTTAAGGAAAAAAATGGTTTGCTGTGACAATACTGTTCCATCATTTAAAATGCAAATACATACTGATTTAGAGAAGTATTTAAGGGTATATTTAGTAAATATCCCTAAGTAAAAAAGCAAGTATAAAACAATGAGAAATGTATCAGACATGATTGGCTTCCTGATTCTTAGGATGTTAAGAGACCCTTATGTTGTCATTTCCCCCCTTTAGTAAAGGTAGTGTGGCTAAGGAGATGTGTTTGAAGTCAAAATTTAAATCTGACCCAACTGTTTACAAGTCATAGGACACTGGATAAGTTACCCAACCTTTCTGAGCCCAGTTGTTTGTATTTTTTATCAGATAATAATTTTGCTCCTGAGAAATATTGTGAGAATCACTCTTTGGAATAAACTAAGGTCATGTTTTATTCCAAAGCCTCTTAAAATTTAATATGCACATAAACTTGCTGGGAAGTTTGTTAAGATGTGGATTCTGAGTCATAGACCTGGGGTGGGACCTGAGATTCTGTATTTCCAGCAAACTTCCAAGCTTCCAGGCTGCATCTGTGGCTCTTACATTGAACAGCAAAGTTGCCCCTCCCAGTGCAGATGTACCATCTCTCCACCATGCCCTGGTGAGAAGAGGGCTGAATTTGCTCACCAGTGACCCATCGTTCATTGATTTATTAATACTATTGAAGCCTGAATATTTGCACTTGTCACAGTTAATGGAACTGTGCCCATTAGCTACTGGGAGTTGAAGAGAACAATTTCAGACCTAAGAAATGCTCTAACTTTGTAGGTTACTTTCTGTGATCTCACTGGTAGGCTTTGGCTTTTCTGTGCGATCCCCCGGGGAGAAAGGTGCTATAAATCCAGTGTATGAAAACTGAAAGTCAGCAGCACAGAATCCAGCCCAGCTCTCTCCGTGCCCCGCCGGCCACCGTGATGATGACCTGCTTCATTCTTCCCCTCCCCAGGAACACTTGCCATAGCCAGCCAGGGGCTGTGTCAGTTGGCAGATCTGGCCAGAGGTGCTTTTAGTTCTCATGCTATTTTTCACTTGTCTTCCTGCTGCCTTCATCCCTCAGGCCGCTGGCTTCCCAGGAGCTCCTATGAGGGTCACAGTTGCTGGCAGATGTCCTTCTGGCCAAGGCTTGCTCAGACATCCCAGCCTGTTCAGCAGACCGAGACCCAGAACCCTGTCACTTAGTTTGTGTATTAGTTTTCCCGGGCTGTCATAACAAATTACCATACACAGAGTGGCCTAGAACAGCAGAAATTTATTGTCACACACTTCAGGAGGCCAGGAGTCAGAAGTCCAGGTTCAGGTGAGTTGGTTCCCTCTGCAGGCTCCGAGGAAGAGTTCTCTCCAGGCATCTGTCCTTTGTCCTGGCACTCACGGGCAGTTCTTGGCATTCACTCCAAACTCTACCTCCAGCTCCACACCCGTTCTTTACCGTGGCTCCCCGCATCTTTTCTGTCATTGCACTTAGGGCTTATTCTAATCGAATGTGATTTCATTTCAGCTCTTGCCCTAACTATGCCTACAAAAGCCCTGTTTCTAAATAAGGTCACATTCTGAGGCTCTAGGGAATATGAATTTGATGGGGACACTGGTGAGGTCACTGGAGTTAGGAAAAGCTTTCTGGCAGGAGCTGGTAGGGTCTGGGAACTATGGAAGGGAAACCGAAACAGAGAAGGAAGTGGGCTTGTCCTGGAGGGATGCAGGCTGCTCCTGGGACAGAAGTGGGAGCTCCAGGGAGTGACCATGACTCATTGGTGGCCTCACCAGGCCTCGAACAGGTCCCCACAGTGTGGCCACAGTGAGGCAGAAGGATGCGACACCCAGCATCAAGATGCCTGGCAGAGGAAGCGTGAGGTGCCAGGCACATCAAAGGTATTTTGTTCTAAGAAAGCTTTGTACCTGTGAGTTGTGAGGTTTGGAGCTGAAGGAGGATACACGTTATGCTCGGCTACTGAGAAGCTGATTTGACATTTGGAAAACAGAAAATGAAATTGTTGAGGGCTCAGTTGTGACAAGTATTTCTTAAACAGCAGGAGAAATCCAGGCCCGGTCTGCCCTGCAACCCAGGTGGATGAGGACAGCTCCAGAGAGGGCTTCCTGGTGAGACCTCGGAGATGAGCCTGATAGAGCAGCCAAGTCTCCTAAGGAAAGAGGTGGTGTGGACAGAGATACATGCAGGGATGGCTGCGAGTGTGCACACGGCTGGAGGAAAGGGCAGGTGGAGGCAAACGGGAAGCTAGGCCAGGTGTGACTTCACCAGACTGCAGCAGGCAGGAGCGAGTGAGGAGAAGGTTGAGAAACAAGGCCACGCACTTGACATGCCAGGCTCTGCACCGAGCCCTAGATCATCCAGTGGTGGGACCATCTCCCTGCTCCTTACCTTTCTAAAAAATGATGGTAAAATATACATAACCCTAAACTCACCCTTTGAGCCATTTTAAGTTGCAGTAACTCCATTCACATTGTCGTACCTATTCCTTACTTTTTATCCCATATGAGTGATGGGGGACAGGAGTGGTGGGGGCACTTGTCCTGGGATGCTCAAGTCCCTCCTATAAAAGGCAGTGGTGTTTGCAAAGAACCTGCCTACATCTTCAGGCAATCTCTAGATGACTTATAAAACCCAACACAATGTACACGATATGTAAAGAGTTATAGCACTTTGTGGTGTAGGGAATCATGTTTGTATATAATCTGTGCAGATGTAGTGTTTGCCTAAGTATTTCTGGTCTGCAGTTGGCTGAATCTGAGGGCCCCCTGCACTTCCTGTAGGGGACAGGGAGCCATCTCCTCTCTGGCTTTTGATAAAAGGAAAAGCAGAGGCATTGTCCTCGGACAAATGGGCACTGATCCTGCCTTCTCCCCTCAGAATGTATCCTGGCTTATGCCAAATTTGCTTTGAAAGCCAGAGAAAAGCCTCTGTTGTTGATAAACAGACCCTGATGGAGAAGCATCCTGATGTCTTTACTACAGTGAAATACTACAGTAACTGAAATAAAATTTTAGTACAAGTTTTTCTCAAGTGCATGTGATATGCTGAGAAAATATTTGTTTTGTATCTGAAATTCAAATTCAACTGGGTGCCCTGCTTTTATACTTGGTACCCTCCTGTAATAAAACTGGGCAAATTAAACCCGGACCTTTCTGAGCTAACTTTGCCCAGCTGTGGTGGGGTCTTCTTCCACCAGGCTGCCATGCATGTGCTCAGCCCATTCCTCATCCCTGGCCTATTCTGCCGCAGCCCCTAACTGCCATGCAAGCTTCCTGCTGTTCACAGGAGGCTTGTTTTCCCCTCACAGCTGTGAACTTGGACCTGGTTTTGCCTGCAGGGAAGTGGCTAAGGGCAGACAGGAAGACCTGGCGCCCCTAGAGACAGCGGCCTCTAAGTCCTGTCTAGACTGAGACCAGGAAGGACATTGCTCTGAGGACTGCAGAACCAGCCAGGGTGCTAGAGTGGCCTCCGCAGAGCCAAGAACAAAGAAGCCCTTGGGAAACGGAGTCCCCAGCTCTCCTACTTCCACTCCCTGGCAGAAGTACCTTTGGCTTCTCACTGCGGAAGGAAAACAACCACCAAAAATGCATCCAGGATTAAAACCACCATTTCAAAAGCATATCATTAAAGCAAGCTGTGACCCAAATATTTGTTGTGTGCTTAAGAACTTTTTAAAAAAAGTTTTAAGCTATTGAAAAGAATTGAAAAAGTAACACACCAAAAGAAAAGAAGGAGGGAGAATGGAGGGAGGGAGAGAGAGAGGACAAAAGAAAACTGAGCTAAGAATCTTGTTGGATTGATCTCTGGGAATGTAATTTTTTTTTTTAATTTTCAAAAATACAAGCTGATGTGGAGAGAGAATTGCAGAACCCAAGTGGAAATAGCAGGGTTTTGAAAGTTTGAAGGGAGGTGGAGGGAGGGCTGGAGTCTGAGGCCCAGATGAATGTGCTCTGGGAGTGAAAGCCAGGGCTAGGAAGCGCAGTTGGAGGGAACTAAATGCACCAAGTCTGCCAGGCAAGGGGAATCTCGGCCCTAGGAGCTTTCTCACCCTCTGGTGGGCACAGAGCCAGCCCTTGGGGCAGAGGGAGCAACGTGGAAAGCTTAGAGGTAGGGACAACTGGACTCAAATCCTTCCTTTCCCACTCCTTTGATTTATGACTAGTGGAAACAACTACTCCTGTCAATTTTTATAGACTTCGGAGGATTGCATATAAAATTTGAATTTATAGAACATGGTCCTTCAAGGGACTCTTTATGTTGGTGATTAATATTCTGCTAGCTGTAAAAGTAGCAGCAAAGATGTGTTTTCCGCTAAACTCTTAGTGTCTCCCCAGTGTCTGTCTCTGCGTGTCTCTCTGTCTCTCTTTCTGTGTCTTGCTCTAACAAAATGAGAACCTCTGTGTCCTTACCCTCATAATAACTCTGAGATCAACCTAAAGATAAAACCCAGTGGTGTCATTCTGGCTGAAACTATAGGTACAGATTCTCCATCAACCTCTCCCAGCCTTGCTTCTGTCAATGGATCTGCAATTAGAGAAGCTGCCACTAGATGATGCCTTGAGCCACAGTGGCATGAAAGGCCTTCTCACTGGCAGGGGTGTTTATAGTCTCAGGTAGGTACATAAGCTAATCAGGGATGTTTTTTTTTTGGTAAACATCATATTAACATTGGCATTTTCACAAACTACTAACAACAATCATTGACTGATTTTTAAGGACTGTTTATTGCATAAATGATATCCTTTAAGGATTAAAGAATTTTTGGACGGGCATCAATGTATGCTCTCAGAGTAGGTATTACCAATTCTGGTTTTCCATATTCTCTTTTCAGAAAAGCATTTTTACTCTGCAGTGTATGAGGAAAACTTGAAAGTCTTCTCTGTGGAAATAGTTGGTATCAGATACTCGTATTTGTTTGCAACTCACCATGGGAAAAGCTTACTCTCCTACCTTCTTTTGTTTCTGAAAGCTGCCTTTCTTCTTTCAGAGGGGTTTGGCTGTTGAATTCTGTGCTCCAGAGAACTTCCCTTTTAGGCGAAGGGGGAGCAGTAGCCAGGAAAGATGGACAGAAAACAATTCCTCTGGTCTCATAATGGCATGACGGTCTCTCTAGTTTGCAGAGTGTCACAGGCAACTTTGTCCCCACTTCTTCCTCCCTTTAAAAGGCAAACATACTTAAATCAGGAAGACACGGCTGTTAACAGCCTGGCTCTGTGGTTGAGCATACTTGGACTTGAGTTCACCATTACCTCTTAGCCTCCCTGGCCTCATCTATTGAGTAGGGACATTAGAGTGTTAAATTTCATAGAGCTGTGATGATCAAATGAGATACTACTTAATCATAAAATAATGGTCATATAATAATTACCATTATTAAAATGACCTGCCTTTAAAACATCATTACATTAAGACAGAAGACTGAGAGGGGATGGAGCACAGGCACTATAGAACATGACTACTCCTAAACTTCTAATAAATCACTAAGACTCAGCCTCATACTTGTTCCCAAACTTCCCACTAGCTAAAGTGAAAAGACAATCAGGTTCACTGATTTGTGCTTCCTATGGACCACAAGGCAAAACCTGCCACTCTCTCAGTGAAGCATGATTGCTGGTCAATTCCAAAAATTCATCTTTTTCACCTGAGGCATCATGCAGCAAATGTGAACTTATGTAAGAGACAGAAACACCAACAACAGTGTCATATGAAGTATCACAGGCACCCCTTGACCATAAACCAAGGGAAAAGTAGAAGGCAGTCAAGTGCCCGAGAACTGTTCCACGTGCTGGGCAGACGCTGAGATGATCCTGAGATTCACATGCTTGGTGCACACATTCTGCATAATCTTGAGAATATTCAGAACCACGTGGCTCTCTGTCTCAGTCTTTCTGTCTTTGCCCATCTCTCTCTCTCTCTATTGGATTATGTAATGTAGCAAAGGGCAAGGGGTTTCGCAGATGTATTAGAGCCCCTAATCAGTTGACTTTAAGGTCATCAAAAGAGGGCCTTCATTGGCCAGCCAGATCTAATTCCCCCATGAAGGAAGATCTGGAGGTCAGGGAGAGTCTCTTGCCATCCTTAAGGTTCTCAAGGCTGTGAGGAGTCCACATGGTGGGAAAATGAGGGTGGCTTCTAGGAGCTGAAAAAACTTTAAATGGCAGCCAAAAAACCCCCCAAAAAAGAACCAAAACAAAAACCAAAGAAAAACAGGGACTTCTCTTGTCTCACATTCAAAACAAACTGAATCCTACCACCAACCTGAATGAGCTGGGAAGAGGATCCTGAGCTCCAGAGGACAATGCAGCCTAGCAGACACCCTGATTCCAGCCTTTCCAGAGCCTGAACAGAGAAAATTCAGCTTCTCTGTGCCTGGATTTCTGACCTACAAACACATAAAATCATATTTATTACACAGCAGTAGCAAATGAATACACACCAGAATGCTGAAGTCCACAGCCTTTAGATAGATTCAGAAAAAACCTGAAATATCTAGAGCATTTCCCTAACTAAATTAATCTAACATAAATTAGAGGAAGGTGTTAATAGATATGCTGTGAAAAATGAAAGCTTTTTGTCCAACCCTGATTGTTGACCGTAGAGAGGAGGTGTTTGGGGCGGAGTCCTACAGAAGAGAGTCCGTGTTACAGCTGCAGTGAGGGGCATGGGATGGAGGGGAAGCCTGAAGAGACAGCTTCAGAATGGACAAAGCCCCGAACACTCCTGTGGTCTCACAACCAAGAAAAACCTTGATGTCCCCATTGCTACCAAAATAAAAGAATCTAATCTGGTCCTTTCTTCTACCCCCACTGTTATCGCAGAACCCTAACTCTGCTTTACTTTCAAAGTCTTGCCACAGTTCCAGTGGGCCTGGCTCTTAGCCCTGGGAGGCCAGGCCACCTGAGTAAACAGACCTTCCAAGATGCCCTGTTCAGAGTAAGTCGGGTCCCCTGAGGTTAAGTGTAATCAGAAGGGGAGGGTAGAAGGTGGGCCAGCCAAAGGCAAAGGGAGTTCACGGGTAGAATCGGGCTTGAAGGATGCGGGTGGAATCTGAACCCTTCTCCCCTGTGTCTGAGTGGTGGAAGAAAGGGGAAATCATCCCTACAAGAAAAGGGGAAGAAGCGAGGCATGGTGGCACAGGCCTGTAATTCCAGCACTTAGAAAGGCCGAGGGAGGAGTCTTGCCTGAGCAACTTAGCAAGAGCCTGTCTCACAGTTAAGGGTGGGGGAGTGGCTGGGAATGCAGCTTGGTGGTAGAGTGTTCCTGGGTTCAATCCCCAGCACCACCAGAAACAACAGCGACAAAAAAGATGAAGAATTTGTAAGCTTCCAATTCCAAGCTTCAGAAAAGTGTGTGAGAAGTAGGAAGGGAAGGGAAATAGGGTGGAGCTACTGAAAGAGGAGGAGGCTGTGCTGTGACTTCCTGTGAAACCTAAGACTTTGAACAGTTTGGGTGCTCTATATAAAGGAGGAGGGGGCTATGCTCTGTGCTGTTGAAATAAGAATACTGAACCATGAAGGCTTAAACCCTGGGAATTAGCAGGAATTGCAGTATAGCCTCTGACCTTCACCCACCAGGGAATTGACTGGAACATAAACCAATTATACTCTACGAGGAAATGGGTCCCCAGCTAGTACTGAAGCTACTTAAGTCTGGCCAGTAGCATATCCTAAGCCCCCTTCTTGGAAACTAGTGATAAAATTAGTATATTAAGTAGTCCACATGTATCTGGATGTCGTTGTTCAATGCCATTCAATTTTACTGTTTTTTAAGTTCAGTAAATTATCACTAAATGCTGCATCCATCGATGGAGTTTTACTATATTTTCAAGGTTGTTTTCCCCTAACACAAGTATATCCATTCTCTTTCTAAGTGAAGAATGTGATATGCACAGTTACATGTTTTCATGAACTGTACCATAGTTATAACACATTTCTCCTTGATCTTAATATGTTATCAGTTTGGGTTAAATGTGAAGATTTTTCACGTATTATTCATTCACAAAATACCAATGAGCCCACCAGTGTTCTAGGCCCTGGGCATGGGCAGAGGGATACATCAGTGAAGAAATGAGACTGGGATCTGTGTTAGTCTGTTCAGGCTACTGTAACAAAATACCTTAGACTGAGTAATTTATAAACAACAGAATTCATTGTTCACTGTTCCTGAGGCTGGGAAGTCCAAGACAAAGGTTCTAGAAGGTGCCATGTCTGCTGAGGGCCACGCTACACAGATGGCACCATCTCGCTACATCCTCACTTGGCATTAGGGGCAAACAAGTTCCTTAAGGCCACTTTTATAAGGTCAGTAATCCTACACATAGGGGCTCTGCTTTGGGGGCCTTGTCACCTCCCAAATGCTAGATTTCAACATATGAATTTTGGAGGAACACTAACATTTAGACTATAGCAGATCCCCATCCCTGAGGGGTGTTCCCCCACACTTTTAAGAAATTCTACATTTAAAAAAAAACAAAAAAACAACAACAACAAAAAACCTTTGGAATCACTTCTCAGCCTTTTGGGTAAGATCAAGTATAAAAAAACCTTGGAATAACTTTGTTTCAGACTAAAGGGCTTTTTTGGGATACTTAACATTTTATAGTGTTTTATATAATATGCCACTTTGGGAAATGCTGATCAAATCATAGCTGTATTATGTGTGCTTTAGAAAAACCATCTATAAATACCATTAGTTTCAACATTGCTAGGAGTTAACAGAGAGATGAAATTCTCCACCAGAGGCTGGAGTGCAAATACTCTCTGTTGCTACTTAAAGGCAAATTTATGTGCTTTTCATAGCACACGAGTGGGTGACTTTGGTGAATCTGAAGTCTGTCTGAGACTGGGAGGTGACCTGGTGACAGAACCTGGATGTTTTTAAGGTGTCTGGATCAAGCAGCCCATTCTCTTACTGGATCATGTTCCTGTAAGTCAGCCTATGCCGATTCATCCACTTCATCCATGACCCAGAGTGGCACCTTGCATATAGCAAGCATGTAATCTGCTGTATTGGGTGGAATGTTGTACAATGGCAACTTTAAGAGACTGCTTATATCTAATTTTTCACATAAAAATTTACTACCTACAACCTAGTAGACATGCTCAGCTGGTTGCTCAGTTGGGTTTTTTTTTTTGCAGAATGTATGAAACTTGGTTAAACATTGTTTGACTTTGAAGTACTTGAGAGAGACCCCTGGCAGTGATGTCACCAACTTTCCTCACTCACCTAAGACTGGAAGACTCTTAGGTCCTGGTCCTGTGTGGAAGAGTGGCTGATTGGCTTCAGAGCAGGTGTCACTGTTGCATCTGGACAACCTGCCATCAAGAGCCTCAGGGTCACTGATGAATGTGTGTGTGATGAAAGAAAACAACTTGGGGCAATCTTATCTTTGGGGGTAACTGCACTGTCTTTCTGGTGATTTATTAGACACCTGGGCTCACACACTGGTCAACTTGATGATTTTTAGGGCCAACCCAGAATAGCCTTCCTGCTGGCTCTGAGGAGCAGCCAGGCCCTTCATCCTTTGTGCCTCTGTGCTGTAGCTGGACCTTGCTCTTTGACTGAAATTGTGGTGAATGCTTTTGGGCTTTCTGTAGTATGATTATGGTGGACGTTTTCCTCTATACTTCAGAAGAAGGGTGCCCCAAACACTAAATGCTTAAAAAGAATTAAAGAATATATTTTTAGCTATAGAATGCTAATATTGAAAAGATCACCTTCCACCTCATTTTACCAAGGAGAAAACTGGAGTCTTTGGATCCAGATGGGCTTCCCAAAACCTCTTTCCGGATGCTTGACCTGAGATCACATGTGGAATCCCCTGTCTTTTCTTTGGAAGCCACATCACAGCCATCCTGTGCTTAGGAACACCAGGCGGCACTTTGGCAACCTCCTTGGGGGCCCTTTGAAACAGAGAGAAAGACAAAAAGACATCAGGTGAATCATGAAAGAATAATTGCTTGTAGTTTGAGAGTTGGAACAAGAAGGCAGAGCCTCACCTCATTTAACCTCAGCTGAAAATATATCAGGTGACTTGGATGTTTAGTTATTCTGTACTTTTCTGAGAGTAACCATGAAAGTGCCATCAGTTTTGATTTGGGGTTGCAAATAAATTTTAGTGAGTAGGTAAATTCCTCAAATATAGAATCTATGAGTAATGAAAAGTGCTGGACTTCTTGGATACTGTGGGGTAGCCCATGTAGGAAGGTAGGGAGGAAATGGGTGAAGGTGAGGGTTAGAGTAACTGTCTACTGTGTGTGGCCCAGGCAAAGCACTGGGTATTTGCTGGGACAGATTGTAAGCCCCAGATGGGGCAGAAATGTTTAGACATGGAAGAACTCCCTCTACCATTTTGGTTTGGTGTATCCCATTTTACAAACTAACAGTCAAGACCACCGAGATAAAGAATGTATAGTGAAAATGGGAAAGGGGAATTCATTTAGTCTGACAGCTAAGAAGCAAATTCCAAAGCCCAGGAATCCTCAGTGTCTGGGACACATGTCCTGAGGATGCACAGGACCATGGGATATTGGAATCCCAAATGTCCACCTGTCCAGGGCCATGTAATCCTACAGATTTTCTGTATTCTCTGCTATTTCTAATTTTCATGTCTAGGCAGGGAGGAGGGAAGGGTTGTGAGTCACTATGAAGCTTACAAAGGAAATTTCTAGAATTGTGCTTTTAATTGAATTTATGAAGAGAGGGCCAGAGAGGGCTTTGGCTTGTGTCATCAAAGAGATTTATTTCTTACTGTTTGTTCTTCAGCTCAGCCTTGGCTATACCTGCCTACCTTGTGTTAACTGAATGAACAAAGCTATATTTTCCTTCTCTTTGTATTTGTTTGAATATGAAACCTGTTTTAGAGGGAGTGGGGAAAGGATTTTGGAGTTGCTTTCAGGTCTTTTTGGGAGGAGAAGAATCACTGGTTTCAATTGAGAGTCAACAGTACCCCAGGGAAACTAATGGAGACCATCTGTGTCTGCTAAGACCAGCCTGTTGTCTTGATTTTTTAGGTTCCCTAGAAATGTCTGGTCATTTGCCCTGGGCTGGTTGACATAGACTTTATAAAAACAAACAACGCAGTATTAAACCTCTGAGAAACCAGCACATAACAATGCTTTATTAATTACCTAAATTTTGCTAAAAAGAATCTTAACCAGGACAATTACAACTTTTTCAACTGGGTGGTAGTTTTTGTTTAATTTTTATTACATTCTTCCAGTTTCATGGCAGGCCTATAATTTAAAGTATTTCTGGGCATCAGGGAACTAAAATGATTAAAGCACAGTATGTATATGTACCAGTTTAACAAGATGAATGTAATTACTATGTATAACAAAATATCCTGGTTTTAAAAAAGAAATTTGAAAAAAAAAGATTCTGAAGTGTTGGGGGAAATTTGCTTAAGTGAATTGTCTTACTTTTTACAGTAATTAAATATCTATTTTTAAAAAGGACTTCTGTTCCACATTTTGCATATCTTTTACAATCATCTTGATAAAGAGAGTAAGCTTGAGTGTAAACACAGTAGGTTATATTTTTCATGCTCACGCCCTTATATCTTATGTAATACTCAGAAAAGAGTGTGTGTTTCATAAATACATGCTCAGTGAATGAATGAATGAGAGAATGAATGAGAGAATTAAGTTATAGCACTGTGCTACTTGGACATACCTAATTAGAAATTATCCATTTATTCAAAGGGTTGGCAAACAATTTTTGTAAAGGGCTAGATAGTGTCCTAGGCTTTGTGGACCTTAAAGGCTCTGTCACAGCAGCTTGTCACTGCTGTTGTAGATGTGAAGCAGACATGTGACAGGGCATAGCTGTATTCTGGTAGAACTTGGTTTAACAATAGCAAGCAGTAAGCTAGATATGACCCAGTTGGTGTATTTTACCCAGTCTATACAACAGCACATACTGACATCAGATAAATGTCAGAAATCACTGTGGTAAAAAAAGAGAATCTTTGAGTAGCAAAGACAGTGCTCTACATTTATCTGATTCCTGTTTTACTTTCCCCCTGAGCACACAGGTAGACCACATTGCCCAGCCATATTGGTCAGCTTTCTCGTCACTGAGATGCATTACCTGACACCCACAACTTCAAGAAAGCGAGATTTAATTTGGTTTACTATTTCAGGGGGCTCAGTACCTGGTCAGCTGGCTTCCAGGCAAAAATGCTATGGTGGATGGGTGTGGCAGAGCAAGAGCTTCAGTTCATGGCAGCTGGGAAGCAGAGCAGGGGAAAGTGTCAGTGAGGAAGATGTGAGGGACCAGATATAGTGCCCACAGTCAAATCTCCATGATCCACCCAGACATACCCACCAGTGTGCTTTACCAATCCCATAGGTGGCTCACAAACCAATCAGCACAGTGAAGCTTAACCACCACAGCACCCTATCTTTGTACTCGGTCAAGCCTTTTGATTAGTTCTGGCCAATGAGCTGTGTCCAGATGTGAAATCCATTGTGTCCAGATGTGGCCCATAGACCTTCCTGTACCCTGCTCCATTCTCTCTTCCCTCCTTACAGACTGGGTGCAGTAATCTGGTAGAAGACTCCAGGGCCTGGGAACCTGAATCTCTTCATGACTGTGGAGCAGTCCTCCCCACTCCCACCCTGGACTTGCACTGGACAGTGAAGGAGTATAAAATCAGCCTGTGTTGCTAAGGCATGGAATGTGAGAATCTTTATCCATTCCTTTCTAGTTCTACCATGTCTGAGCTCAGATCTGGATTAAGAAAATGAACTAAAAAATTAGAGCAGAGAGAGATCTTCCTCTTGCTAAATTGTACTTCTTTTAACACAAATGTGTACTAAAAAGCTAAATGAATCCTCCAAAGATAGAGGAGAAATAAGATGGTAGCAGGCCCAGAAAAGCCCTATGTTGCTATATAACATGACCATATCATCTCTGGCCCCAAATAATTTAACTGGCCCAGAACAAATGAATTTTTAGGAGACAGCTTCCATTGGCCAAAGAGAGCCAGGCCTTCCTATATGTGGGTTCAATATCCGTAGATTCAACCAATTGTTAATCAAAGATATTTGAAAAAAAACTTCATCTGTATTGAACATGCAGACATTTTTCTTGTCATTATTTCCTAATCAATACAGTATAACAATGTTTACATAGCATTTGCATTGTATCAGGTATTATAAGTAATCCAGAGATGATTTAAAGTATACAGGTAGATGTGCATAGGTTCTGTGCAAATACTGTGCCATCTTATGTGAGAGACTTGAGTGTCCTTGGTTTATCCTATCTGCAGGGGATCCTGAAAACAATCCCCTGAGGATACTGAGGGCCAACTACACTTACTCCTTTTTTGGAGGATTGAGATGAGGGCTATAAGGTGCTGCTTGGTAAATTATACTTTGAATATCTTTCATCACACTGGAGCTTGAGAGCTTGGGTACTTTTCAAAGGATCTTAGAAGGGATGTTAGGTGAAATGTGATGTTACAAAGACCTGATCTGGTCCCTACGCTTAGGAAATGCCACCAGGAGTGGTCAGCACAGTTAGGAATCCGTGCCATGGTGACACAGAGGGGAGATGCAGCCTCTGCCTTCCATCAGGCCCTCTCCAGTGGGAAATTGATGTCCTTCACCCCCAACTGAAATTCTTCCTTTTCTTTGCTTTCGGCATTTGTGTATGGGCTTTGTAGTTCCCACCCAAAAGGATGACAGTTAATGGTGAAATCCTCAAAGGGAGAGCCTGTATATTCCTAGAAGCCAGCCCCAGGTCTGGCATGAAGCAGGTGTGTGCCACTGAGAACTGAGGGGTGAGTGAGCCTGGTTGTCAGTGTTTAACTTAATTTGGAACCTTTAGGTCACCCCACCTGAGGCCTAAACTCCTAGCTCCACCCGACCTAAGGTTGTAGGGGATTTTGCATCTAAATAAAATGGAAGGGACAGCAATGGAAGCACTCATATGTCAGTTCAGGTTTGATCAGCACACCAGAATGACTTACAGGCATTTCACTGTCTGCATGAAGCTGTTGGAGCTGTGAGCAAGGCCTTGGAAGGGTTCTGCCTCTGCACTGTCTGTTGGTGCCCTGAAGTCACTATGGATGGACAAGGCTTGTGAGTGGGGAGTAAAACTGGATGGGAAGCAAGGCAGAGCAGAAACAAACTAGAATTCATGGAAGCAAAGTGGATCCCATGAGAATGATTGAATTCTGCCCCTGTCCCTCACCACCTCCATGTTGATAATGCAGGTAACTTGTTCAAGTTGGCACATTTTGCTTCAGCACATTTGTTTATGCAGGACATGGAGAAGCAGACCCAGGAATTGGAGAAGAAGATCCAAGCAAGAGCTGAGGATGATGAGGGTCCTACTGTTCCTTGCAGCAGTGAGTTTGACCAGCCTAGCATGTGTGTGTTCAAGTAGACTTTCAACCTTCTGAGCACAGCAGTGGCTGCAGTGTCTCTTCTGCCTCCCAAAACTACATCAGATTTCCTTTATGGTCAACTCTAACCCAAGACCATGTATAGAAGGAAATTATGGGAAACCTCATTAGGGCTTAGCCAAGCTGGTCTAGTATAGGGCCATATGTCCCGTCTCCTTGTTGCATTATTAGCACTCACTGTAGCTGCAGGTGTTTGTGCCAAAGTAATTTCTCACAGGAGTTTTGGAAAGAGGCTTTCCTCCCCACATGAAACCCACTGAAGTTTGCCCTTATAGGAAAAAATTAAGTAACTTGGCCTTCCCTGCAACATTTTGTGCCTAGTGAATTCTGTTATTTCTTTTTTGTTGGAGAAAAGAGGAAGACAAAGACAAAGATCATAGTAGAAATACAGATTTCTGTTGAATCTTGAGCTGAGTTTTAAAAGATGAATTTCCATTTTGAATGTGGTGGAAAGTCTAGGTGGCTTTAGACCTACAGTTAAGTATTCAAGTGACCACGCAATGGTGGGGTTGGGCTGGTGGGAGAAGTGGCCAATGGAAAATGATCCTTGCTGGAGTTGAGAGTTTACAGAGAAGCTGAAAGTTGATCAAAAGAAGACAGTGATCAAATTTGGGAGACCAAAATTTCACACTTAAGTCAATGGCCATTGTGTTAGTCTGCTTTCTGTCACTTTAATGATACCTGACATAATCAAGTTATAAAAATAAAAGGTTTATTTTGGCTTGCAGTTCTGGAGGTCTCAGTCCATGATCAGCTGGCCCTGTAGCTTTTGGACCTGTGGTGAGGCAGCACATCATGGAGGGCATCATGTGACATAGGAAGCTGGTCACCTCATCACCAGGAAGCAAAAGAGAGAGAAAGGAAGAGACCTGGTTCTACAATCCCCTCTGATGCCCTCAGTGACCTAAAGACTTCCCATTAGGTACCACCTGTTAAAGTTTCTACCACATCCCCAAAGCCTAAGCTGAAAACCAAGCTAACACATGGATCCTTGAGGGACAGTCAAGATCCAAACTATAGCAGTCATTTAAAAAATATTTTAGGTATGCTTGATGAAAAATTATTTAGAATTATTTTGAATGCAGGATTCTATGTTTCTATAAGGTCAAATTACTGGTCATCATGTGTGAACTGTCTATATTTTCCTGATTCTTTCATTGTTCAAGTTCTAGCAGTTACTGAAATATGTTAAAATCCCCCATGGAATTAAGATTTTTCTGTTTCCTCATTTTGACCTGTGAGATATTCCTCTCTATACTGTAAGCTTGTTATTTGCTATATAAAACTTAAGAGCTATGTCTTTCTGAACCTATTTGTCATTTGAAATATCCCTTTTTTCTACTTCTAGTTATGTTTTTCACCTTAAAGTCAACTTTCAGATTAATAGAGAGCCTCCAGATTTCCTTAGGTTAGTGTTTGTGTGTTGCATCTTCCCCTACCCTTTTCCTCCTCACCTTTCTTAGTGTTGTATTTTCTACTCAGGCTTGGCTGTTTTTGATGGTGTGCTGAACACATATTTGAAAGAATAATTTGAGGTTGTAGAAGATGTTATGTTTCAAAAAGGAGTTTCCCTTTCTTCTGCTAGGTGTCTGGAGCACATGGTCCCCGAGACTATGATGAGCTGAAGCTGAGTTGCAGGACTCACCTCGGGACTGAGTCACCTCAGGACTAAGCTTACGCTTCTCAACCCAGAGCTGGTGAGGGGTTTTTGCTCCTCCAACTCTTAAACCTCCACCCCTATCATTCTAGCCCTGTTACCATAAATCAGGAGCTGCTGAAATGCCAACTGCTCCTTCCAGAATAAGCAGCAGTTACAGAGAAAGATGTCCCAGACGCTAGCCTGAGCTTCTTGGGCACCATCTTCCCCTATGCTGTGGCTCAGCAATTATTTACCATTTCTTGACTTCCTAATACATTCAAGCATATTTAAAATATAGTTTATCTGACAGCCCTTAATGGAAAAATTGATCCAAATTTCCTGGTTATCCTTTATCAGAAGCAGAAGTTCTTTTGTTTTCCATAGGAAAAACTTTTTTTGCATCATTGATTGGCATTAAGAAAAGAATTTAATGTTAAGAGGTGGGGTCTCACTGTGCTGTCCACACTGTCTTCCAAGTCCTGGGCTTATGTTTTATGTGTGTGATCCTTTCTAGTAGGTGGGACTATACACGAGTACCACAGTGCCTAGCTTGCATTTTCTTTATACTATTTGAAAGGCTTTAAAAGTGGATAGTTATGAAGCATTGAAATTTTAGATCATAATTTTAATAAAATATGTGGTATAATTCTGGACCTTGATGTCTTCCCTAAAGCAGGGAGGGGTGATTCCCTAAAGCAAGCCAGTCCCAGTATGGAGCTCTCTGGAAGATGACCGAGACTCTGGCCTGTGCCCTCTGCCCTGTAGACATGAGCTTATAGTTCTTGGTGTAGTTTTGTGATGGATGTTTAGGGAATTTCACCCTCTTAGGGTATCATTTTTATACCTATGTAAAATAGTAGGTGGTGATTAATATTAAAATCCTTCAAATTGCAAAAAAAAAAAAAGTTGGAAATACTATGCTACCGGGAACTCTCATTTGTAAATACACATTTTATTTTAAGCTCACTTGTATTTACAAAGCTTGTTACAGTTATGCGTATTACATATTATAGTGGACACTTGAAATATCATCAAATTAAGTTACCATCTTTTTTATCATCTATAAATTAGTTAACTTTAATGAAAACGTCAGCCAGATGAGAATTCATTTAAGAGCTGTACTGCAGGTCCCAATGAGTAAGTTAATAACAATGTCTTACATACTGGGACATTGTTAAGAGAGTAGATTTTAAGTGTTTTCATCATGAAAAAATAAGTATCTCCAGTAATACAAATGGTAAATAGCCCGATTTAGCCATCTCACAAAGTAGACATATATCAAAACATCTTGTTGAACACCATAAACAATTTTAATTTTCTAATTAAAAATTCATGGATAAAAATTAAAAATGTTTAGGGGCCAGGGATTTAGCTCAGTGGTTCTGCCGCCTGCCTTGCAACCACAAGGTCTTGAGTTCGATCCCTGGTACAAAAATAAACAAAAACAAAAAATGTTTAAAAAAACTTAATCCTCTAAGAAAAGTACTGAGAGCTCAAGTGCCCTAGGGAGACAAAGTCCCTTTTCCTCAGTAAGAAAGCCAGCCCTGGGATGCAGGCTCCAGGCCACTGGGCCCATTTGTGGTGTGGGCGCCCTGTGGTGAGGTCTTGGTGGGTGTTGGCAGCCTGCTGGGCACTGGGTTGCAGCCAGAAGAGCTCACTGTGGTAGACAGGGGTTGTCACCATCATCCACTGGCCCCTTCATGAAGCCAGCAAGGAGCCAACGAAGGCATCAACTGCCCTAGGAGTTTTTGTGTGAAACACACGTGGAGAATTTACCTGTTCACCTGTTCACCCTTTAAGGTAGCAAGGATGGTGATTTTCTTTGAGGGAAAGGAAAAGTCAGTGATGAGCTCTGTATTCTGAGAGCCTGGTCATGTTTCTGTATCTACTGGGTTCATTCTTTTAATACTTGCTCCTTTGAGGGTTTTTTTCCCCAATTAAGCAAATGTATTAAGCAATATCAACAATATGCTGCTCTAGACTGGGATTCTGCCATAGAATACAGTAGACTCATATTTTAAAATCTTATTTTAACTTTATATTTTTGTTTGTTTGTAATTGTCATACATATTAATCATCTTCATCATAGGGAATTTGTACCTGTGTATAATATGTCTTAACTCTTCTCTTTTTTCCCCATTCCCCTCCCCTCCCTTCAACCCATCTTCCTCTCCCCATTTATGAAAGCTTTGTTTCTATCTTTTCCTCCTATTATCTTTTTTCCCTTTCTTCTCTTTCCCCTCTTTCCTCTCTCACTCCCCTTTCCATTTGAACATGCTTTTCCCTTTTCCTAATATCTATGCCCTGTTATGCTCCTTGTTTATCCTTTGGGTTTCTCATGCAAGAGAAACAATGGGATATTTAAATGTGTATGTTTGATTTATTTCACTGAAGATTATGGTCTCAAGGTGCATCCATTTTCTGAGTAGACCCATTTTATTCATCTGCTTCCTGGACATCACTTCGAGGTTGGCTGCCTTCCACTCAGCACATCCCCTCTCTAACTGGTCACATTCCCCCCAGGCCTGATCTCTTTGACTTTTTGTCTGCTTTCCATGAAATGAAGAAGCCAGTTTTAGTATATGTGCTGCCGAAGCGAGCATGAAGAAGCCAGTTTTAAATGTCACAAGACTTTCCTCATGGCATGAGGGGCCCCTTGTGCTTAGAGTTAGTGCATGGTCAAGGCAGCTAGACTACTGTCCTTCAAAATGTCTCTACTCTTGTGTGCGAGATCCTCAGCTATGCCAGAGAGAGGTGTGCAGAGTCCTCCACTCTTAAACTATACAGACATGGCTAACAGACATGGCCTGCCTTCCTCTCTGCCTCTCCCTGGGATCTGCTTTTTCTTTTTACTAGCAGAGCCAAGGCAGGTCAGTTTCTCTACTGCAGCATGTATCAGTCAGGATGCTGATGGTAACACATTGCCTGTGGTAACACACTGCCCCCCAAGTTCAGCTCTCTTAACTTACTGCTGATGAAAACTTACAACTGACCTCACATGTGTCACATGTCTGTGTGGTGTTAGGATGTCTCTGCTCATCGCAGTCACTTGGGAACCCTGGTGTTAGAGGCTTGTCTTGTCTCTTGCTTCTGCCATCACCACGGTAGATGAAGAGAAATGTGGTGAATTATTCACTGGCTCTTTAAAGTCCCTCTCCCAAAGAGATGAAAGTTACTTCTACTCATTTCATCCATCGAGAAGTTCAGTCCTTGGGTTTGGGAGACAGAGAAGTGCAAATATATTTGCAGTGTCCCTGATGATTGTCACAGCACTAGTTCTTGGCAGCTGGGCTGAATTTAACAGCTAGATTCAGGAGAACTGCTCAAGAGGCTTGTGACACGAGAAGTAAGGGTGTTGATTGCCACTGTGGGCAGAGTGGACAGACAGAGCCTCCTCTGGGAGGCCCCCTGGGCCCCTTCCTGCTCTCCTTGACACTTGTACAGGCCTCTGTCACCCTGCCCTAGTAGGATGCCCTTTGGCTGTGACTTTTGGTCTGTTAGATACACCTCATATGCATCATTAATACTTAGGGAAATACACACACCTACAGAGGACACCTGCACAGTCTCTGGGCTGTAAGGACAAAAGTGACATTGGTTTTATTCCCTTGACATTCCCTGAGCTAGCTTGAAGACACAGGAAGACAGGTATTTTGAATTTAGAGGCTAGAGGTTGGAAAGAAACTATCTGGTCCTGTTTGGGTGGAACAGAGAGGAGAAGGTGGGAGACAGCACTTCTGCTGACATACACTCTCCAGGACTGTCCTTTGTTGTCCTTGCTGGCCAGGAAAGACAGGTGCTGGTGGATCAGATACTGAGGTTTAGAGGCTATTGATATGTCCTATGTTTGGAAACAATTATTTATCAGGCATCTGCTATAACCATAAGGCAAATTGTACTCACATGTGAGTAATACTTTATAGTTTATGTTTCGTGTTGTCCTGAAAATCACTGGCTCCCTTTGCAAATGAGGACACCGAGACAGGTAACTTGTCTGGGTCCTTGTGATGCCCAGCTGTATGGCTTGGAACTCCGGGTCCTGGTTCCTCATCCTGGGCATTTCCACTAACCCATACTGTCTGAGGATCCCACAGTCCCAGGGAAGATTTTATTCTTTTTTTTGATGGATGTGGGGCAAAGTTATGTTGTTGCAAGTGAACCTGTAAGGTTCTTTTTCTCCAGTTGGATGATTATGAGGATTAATAGTGCAAGATGAAAGCAATGTTTTGGAGGTTTACCATATCCACGGATGGAGCTCACAGCTACCAAAGGCTTACTTTGCTGACTTATTTCTGCCAGTAAATAGCCAGCTTTGCATGATGTAATCACAATGAGATGCAGAAAGATGAGAGAGGGCAGAAGATTCCTGGTGTCCCCTCTGTCTCACTAAGGTTCTCTTGTCTGCCACAGCTTGAAGCCGAGGAAGGCAGGCTGAGTCTCTGGAGCCAAAATATGGAAATGTGGGTGCAAGTAAACTGTATCATTTCCATTTCCCAAGGTTCAGAAAGATTTCCAGCCTTATACTGGCCTTCCATTGATTAAATGAGATAATGCATGTAAAGCCCTTGGCACATAGTAAGTGGCCAATAAATAAATGGTAACCATTCTAATAGTAATAATTTTAGTAATAGGGATCTTTATTTGTTATTTAATTAAATTATTTTATTTTAAAAATAATGATCTTTAAGTTATTGCAATAATAGAACAATAGTATTAGATATGAGAAAATGGAAAAATAGGAACAAAATCTTTGTAAATAGGGAGGAATGGAGGGGTTGAAGGGAGGGCTGGGCAAGGGTGAAAAATAAGAACCAAGAGAGATTATGTCAAGGTGCAAATTTCCAATGATGAATGTCATTATATTGTATACCTAAAATGTACCAATGATTAGAATGAATAATCGATAATGCAAAATAGGAAGAAAAGGTCCAAAGGGGTAGGGGTAGTGGGAGGGGCAGGGGAAAGGAAAGAAGGGAAAGGAAAAATGATGAGAAATGGAAAAAAATGGAAATAAAGTCTTTGTAAATAGGGAAGGGTGGAGGGGGTGAAGGGAGGGCTAGGAATGGGGAAAAAATAAGAACCAAGATGCATCATGTAAAGGTACAATTCCCAATGTGAAATGTAATTGTGTTGTATACCTACAATGTACCAATAAAAGAATTCAATAAAGTGAAAAAAAGAACAATAGTATTAGAACAAGAATGATTTAATGATCATGGTAATAATAAACATACTGTGGCAATCAGTGGTGTGAGGAGCGAACACAATGGGAGTCGTGAGCCCAGGGGAAAGAATTTTATGAATGAGGCCTGAGAGTAAAAAGCAGTCTGTATAGGAACTCTGTACTTTCTGCTTCATTTTTCTGTGAATATATTACAAAATAAAGCCTATTTGGGGCCGGGGATTTAGCTCAGTGGTGCTGCTGCCTACCTCAAAAGTACAAGGTCCTGAGTTCAATCCTCAGTACCAAAAGAAAAAAAAAGAAAAAAGAAAGCCTATTTAATTTTTTTAAATAAGGAGAAGAAAGCAGGTGGACAGTTGGTATTACTCTTTTCTGATTCTCAGAGACAGTGCATCCCCTTATTGCTTGTTCCTGGTGGACCCACTACCACCACCTAACCCTTGGTATGCCATGGATATCATAATTTTGAGCTGCTAGCTCTGTAGATACTCAAATGAGCAGCATGTTAATGAGCAAGTAAAGTTTGCTGCTGGACGACTGACCACTGTTTCTCTGGTCACCCCGGGTGTTGACTGCTACACTGCTGGACAGAGGTCGCAGGCTTTGGGCCCCTGTGGTTCGCTCTGCTGAGCTGAACTCACTGTGCCTACAGGGGCATGGCTTGGCTGTACGCAGACCCCCAGGTTATCTCTCCAGCCCACAGCTAATGAGATCCCCAACGCACAGACCAGTGCAAGGTGTCCCCAAACCACCAATGGTTGGCTTCTTTTCCTTTGCCTAATGAAAGGCTCTCCTTTCTTTGGGTAGGAAAATGCCCAGATAATCAGAGAAGTGGAAGTTGACAAGGTCTCCATGCTCTCCAGGGACCAGGTGGAGGCCATCAAGCAGCTCTGGCAGGATCCAGGAGTCCAGGAGTGTTATGACAGGAGGAGGGAGTATCAGCTGTCAGATTCTGCCAAATAGTGAGTACAGAGCTCCAGCTATGGCTTCCCACGGTCCTTTTAGGCAAACTCAGTCTTGTTTCTTTGAAACTTATCACTGCTTGCTGACACAGGGGATGGCCAGTGGCAATATCACCTTCTGCTGTCTTTCTGTGTCTCCCTGTCACCTCTTGTGCTCTGTCTGACCACCTCCTAAAACCCTTTGATCCTCTGTGTATCCCCAGAATCCCCTCCTGGCCTATACCTACCTGCCTTTTCTCACTGTATTGTAAGCCTATTATTTTCAATTGGAGGTTTAATCAAATTGGGAGTTTTCTTAGTGGGTATTTGGGGTATTGAAATTATGATTTAAACAAGGAATATACCTGCTTCTGGTTTCCTTTGCTCCTCTCAATATTTCTCTTTCTGGTTGTCTTGAACCAGACTTGCCTCAAAACCTAAAATCAGACTTCAGAGCAGCAGTCAGCGGCTGATCTGATGTTTCCCTCTAGTGGTTGAGACAGGCATCTTCAGGCAAAGCACACAGGAAACAGTCCTTTATAGACCCCCTGAAAAAACCTAGGTTTTGATCAGTAGAGTTCTAATTTCGTTTATTTTCTGAGATGGGGTTTGCCGTGTTTCTCAGGCTGGCCTCAAATTCACAATCCTCCTCCCTTAACTTGCTGAGTAGTTGAGATCACCAAGTGTGCCACTGTACATGGTAAATCACTTCAATTTTAAATCATTATTCCCTAAAGGTAAACGATTTGTTCGGATGGTCCCGCAAGGAAACCATCCCAGAGAGATCACAGAATTTTATTTTCTTAAGAATTTCCTGAGGCAGTGTATCTATCAGCCAGGTCACTGGGAAAACACTTCAGTTCTTCTTGAAGAGTTGATGATCTCAGCAGTGTGGCTTTCTCCCTCAGTACATAGCATCATCCACCCTGTGAGGGCCCTGAAATCCTTCCTGAGACCACCCACGTTCCTTCAGATGCTGCCATTGCCCTCTGAGCTGGGTTGGCTGGGGGTTGTCCTCATTGTCTGGATAAGGCAGTGGGTTGGAAGGGAAATGTTATCTTCTACACAATGACTTTCCTTTAGTGTTTGTCCCAGGCTGAGTGTTCAGTGTCATTATCCAGATTGGCATAGTCAATCAAAGCACAGACACAACACCAATAAGATGTTAGATCAGCAAAGAGATGGAAGGAAGAAAGTACCCCAAAGAGGAGGTGCAGACTGACAGCCTGCGGAACCAGGGGTTACTCAGTGTCAAAGGCAGCCACGGCCTCCCTGGTCCTTTCCTGAGACTGCTTGGTATTCTTTTCTCTGTGAGGCCCCTGGGGGTTGGTAACAGTGCACGATGTACGTCCGTTTGGAAGAGACCCAGCAGAACTGTGATAGAATTTAGGGTAACCCGAAACTGAGGCAAGACCATCGAGAAGGGTATGGGAGCAGCCAAGGTAATGGACAGACTTACTGCAGACTTACAAACCCAGACGGCTGTCCCATCTTCAGAATCTGTGGGACATGGGGCATTGGTGCATTTCCTTGGTCCAGGTCAGTGGTTCTCATGTACTCACTTCACTAAAATTTGATGGATGCTTGTAATATGCCAGGCACCATAGTAAGGCCTGCAGAGCAACCAGTTCCCTCTGCTCTCAGGAAAGTAGAGTTTGGTGGCATGAGGCAAGTATGAAACAAACAGTCACACAGTGAATGTAATATTCTCCCTTTGCCTCCTGGGGATACATTCCAAGACCCCTAGTGGAAACCTGAAACCATGCATAGGATCGAACCCTATATATACTGTATTTTTCCTATTTGTATGTACTTATGGTACAGTTTCATTTATACATTCGGCACAGTGTCTTAGTCACTTTCTTGTTGCTGAAACATAATACCCAACATCTACAACTTAAGGAAGAAGAGATTCATTTTGGCTCAAGTTTCAGTCTGTAGTTGGCTGGCCCCATGGCAGGAGAGCATGGCAGAGGAAAAGCTGATCATGGTATGGCAGACAGGAAGCAGAGAATCAAAGGAGGAACTGGGAAGGGAGATAGACCCAAGCCACGCCCTCCAGCGACCTGCCCCTTCTAACCAGACCCCAGCTCCTAACAGTAAGTCAGCTTTAAACCCCAGTAATCTGATCACCTTCCAAAAGCCCTTCCTTTGAGTGCATGAGGCTCTTGGATCTAAGCTATCACAGTAAGAGTTTAATAATGACAATATAGAACAACTTTGGGGGCCGGTATTAAGTAAAATAAGAATGACTTGAACGCAAGCACTGTGATAGCATAAGAGATGATATGGTAACTGAGACAGCTACTTGGTGACTAACAGCCTAGTAGTGAATACAGTGTAGATACATTGGAGAAGGGCAATTCATATCTAGGGCAAGACAGAATGGGACAGTATCAGATTTTATCATGTTATTCAGAAAAGCACATGATTTAAAACTTAGAAATCGTTGCCAAGCATTGGGAGTACAGGCTTGTCATACTATCTACTTGATAGGCTGAAGCAGGAGGATCATCTGAGCCCAGGAATTTGAGGCCTGCCTGGCAATACACCAAGACCCTGTCTCTAAAAACAAAACAAAACAAAATAGAACTTATGAATTAAATACTCTGCAGCATGAATGCCCATGGGTAACAACTGTGGACAGTGAAACCTGGGTTAAGGTTACTGCCCAGGGAGAACAGCACTGAGCCCTGGGCTTGTGACATATGAGCAGAGGTGTAGAAGGTGACCCCAGTGCCTGGGCTCTTGAGCTGGAGGCTGGAAGGCGTCAGGCTTTCCTTTAACCCTCGATTCATCTTCACACTGCCTGTTCAGGGCCTGGTGTCCAGGCTGTGCTGGGAGAAGGCAGGCCCACCTCGGCTTGCAGGGGACTTGGAATCACCAACTCCATTGTTGGCCAGGATCTGAGTTAAGAGTTATTTTACTAATTTAATTTTTATATGAGCTTTAAAATTTAAGAATAGAGTGCTCTCATTTTACTAAAGAAAAAGTGATTACATTTTAATAATCACTCTACGCTTTAATATTTGGCCCCAAATAATCTAAGACAAGTTTTGGATTTTTTTAGATGTTTCATTTCCCAGTGTCTTTAACAGGGAAGGTTTTCTTGTTATTCTAAAAGAATTTCCCCTTGGCCTATTTGACGTCTATATATTTCCTTAGAAACTCCATTTAATTCTGAGCAGCAGCTTTAGAGAACAGCAACTACAAACATATTGTTCTTGGATGAGGGACATTTGGGCAGGGCATCTGAGCCATTTCCGGCCTCCAGCCCTGCTGCCTCCCTTACAGCCAAACAGAAATGTTGGCCATTAGAGCCCAGGAGAAGAGTTGCAGTGACCTGCGTATTTCCCAGAAGACTCACAGAAGTGCTTCTGATCCCTGCTATCTTCAGACCATTGTAGGAAGGGTCCTCATCTGGCTTTCGAGAAAGTCACTGACGGAATCCATGAATCTGTGTAGGGAGTGTAATATGGGGGTAACTTCTTGGAGCAGTACAGACATTTCTCCTTTCTCTAAAAGGAGCCTCGGCTTCTCATTCTTTAATGTCACAGTTACCTGACTGACATTGACCGGATTGCCATGCCATCATTTGTGCCCACACAGCAAGATGTGCTTCGTGTCCGAGTGCCCACCACTGGAATCATTGAGTACCCGTTTAACCTGGAGGACATCATCTTTCGGTAAGCCTGTCTCCCAGACATTGTCCTCGGAGAATCTGTTTCCCAGGCCCAGAAGTTCCTGGATGGTGTGTTAAATGTGTTATTTCTAAGCAGGGGTTGCATCCCATAGGGCAGAATGGCTCTTTCTGTCTTGAAGAATGTAGATTGTGGTAGGTCACAATTCTAGAGTGGAGAAGGACTTACCCTTCTATTGCCCTTAGGGAAGGCATTTGTTTCTGCAAACTGGAATCATTCTTATCCATATAAGAATACATGTACTTAGCACCTGTCTTCACTCTTAAAATTACTGAGGATCCAAGAGAGCACTGACTCTATGGTATAATGACTTGTCCTTTTTCCTCAAAGAGTCATGTATTCTAATCTTTGTGTGATTTGTCTTTATTGAGCAGGATGGTGGATGTTGGTGGCCAGCGATCTGAACGACGGAAATGGATTCATTGCTTTGAGAGTGTCACCTCCATAATTTTCTTGGTTGCTCTGAGTGAATATGACCAGGTCCTGGCTGAGTGTGACAATGAGGTATGCTGAGTGGGTGAGGTATACATATGTAGCTTTGGAAGGCAGAGACCTATTTCTTTTCTTCTCAACGAGCCAACAAGGTGGACCCACCAGCTAAATGGTCTTATTCACAGTGTAATCTGTGGACTAGCAGGACAGGGATCATCAGTTGCTTGTCAGAAATGCAACCTATTGAGTCAGTCCAGACCTGCATTTAGTTCTCAGGCAATAAAAATATAGTCATGTGTTGCTTAATGAAAAGCATCATTACAGTTTGTGTCTAGATATCCCACCAAAGCCTCATGTGGTCATAGGCAGGGCTTTTTCAGAGGTGCCTGAATCTAGGGTGTGTAATTGATTCATGGTACAATGCTAGGGTTAAGGATAAAGGTGTGTGATTACTATATCAGTGCATTGATTGGTTTAGCACTGCCCTAATCCCAGTAGCCTGGATATAATATAAGGGACAGAAAGAGGCTTGTCTTGTCCCTTTCTTGCTTAGTTTGCTAGCTTCTGCCAACCATAAACTGCTCCTCCTCTGCAGTGCCTGTCTGCCAAGCCACCCGGCCTTGGAGCCAGTCAATTATGGACTGAAACCTCTACAAACTGTGAGCTAAATAAACCTTTCCCCCTTTAATTTTGGATACTGGGTATTTTGTCTCAGCAATGAGAGAAAAGTAACTAAAACAAGCATATACTCTGAGAAATACTTCAGTAGGTGATTTCATCATTGTGTTAACACTACAGAATGCACAGGTATAAACCCAGATAGCTCAGCCTACTATATACCTGGGCTGTATGATTATAGCCTGCTGCTTTTTGGCTACCAGCCTGCATAGTATGTTACTGTACTCAGTATTGTTGGCAATGGTATTTGTGTATCTAAACATACTAAATGTAGAAAAGGTACACTAAAAATACTGGGCAATAGGAATTTTTCAATTCCACTATAATCTTATGGGACTGCTGTTGTACATGTCTGCTCACCAAATGGTTGTTATATAGTGCAAGATTGTAAATGATTGTGAAACACTGGTCTGAACCTTAGTTCTAAACTTTGATGCACAATGGAATTTTCTGTGGAATGTAAAGGAAAACTTGTGCCTTGGTCCAACTCAAGATGCTGACTTTATCGGTGGTAGGTGTGGCCTGAGTGTTGGGATTTTTAAAAAAGCTCTCCAAGTGAATCTAATGTGCTGTGAGGGGTGGAAATTACTCAAAAGCAGAGGTTCTCACCCTTGGTGGAATGTTGGCATCCCCTGGGGAGCTTTTAAAAAAAAATACAGCATTGTGGGCCTCACACTAGAGAATTATAGTTACTGGGCTCAGTGGGGGTTTTCTTTTCCAAGTCCCCCAGAGATTCTAATGCACAGGCAAATTTGAGCAGCACTGTGTCTGAGAAACTTATTCCATAGGCCATGGCTTTCCCAAATTAGCCAAGTGGTGTAGACAGTGCTGTCAGGTACTTGCAACTCTTCCGTGGTTGCTGGAATTGTCTGCCCTTCACCTCCCCTAGGAGGGACTCACTCAGGGCAGCTGGGGCCGATCCAGCCCAGTCAGGCATTCAACATCCACCGCAGAGCTACCTGGCACCAGGTGGGTCCAGCTCCACTAGAAGATCTGCCCAGACATGAAGAGGACCAGCACAGTCATTTCTTTGTGAGGTTGGCAGTATCTTCTGTGGGATGCCAATGTCTCCTTCATTGTCTTTCCCCTTGAATTTGCACAAGAACCCTTGATCTTTTTGAAAAACATCTCATTTCCAGAGCATAAAAGTAAACCAATAAAGAACTCTTTCTAGGATGAGGCAATAACTATGAGCAAATCACATCTTGTACTCCTTGAGAGCAGACGTCTCTCAGGAGCACTGTTACATTAGCTAATTAGTGGAGGATTAACCCATTTACTAGTGTCATTGTGCAAAGAATAGAAATCTTGGCTGCTGCCCAGCTCTCCCAAGTGGGATTGTTAAAAAAAAAAAAAAAAAAGGAATCCTGTTATCATTATAAAAAATTAGCTCCAAATTGTCTCAGGGATTACTTATGATATTTCTTAGGAAAGTCAAGTGCACAAGGGACCAGTAACTCAGCCTGATGCACTCAGAAATTAAACATTTTCTCCTTTCTTAAAAATCACAAGGTATTTGGAGAAACTTAAGTGGTTGTCATTCCAGACTTTCCTTTTCTGGTTGTATATATTTACTATACTGATTCCCTATTTTGTATAGGAAGTTTTTTTTTTTTTTGCTTACATTCTTTTATTGGTACATTTTAGGTATAATATACGTTTACATTTATCACTGGGTTCTTGTGCCTGTACATGATGTATCTTGGTTCTTATTTTTTCCTCATTACCTGTGTGCCCTTCACCCCCTCCACCCTTCCCTATTTACATAGCCTTTTTTCCATTTTTTTCTTTTGTCATAATTTTTCCTTTCTCTTCTTTCCTTTCCCCTGCCCCTCCCACTTCCCCTACCACTTTGGACCTTTTCTTACTATTTCAAATTATCAATTATTCCTTTTAATCATTTTAATCCTTATTTACTTTCAGTTTCTCACACTAGAGAAACTGTTCAGTATTTACACATGTGTGTCCTATTTATTTCACTTAAGAGTATGGCTTCAATATGCATACATTTAGCTATAAATGTCTCTAGTTTCTCATTCTTTATGGCTGAGTAGTACTCCATTTTATAAAAAAAACAAACACATCTTTATCCAGTTTCCAGTTGATGGGCACTTGGGCTGTTTTCAAGCTTTCACTATTACAGACTGTGCCACTATAAACATGGGTACACATATATCGCTGTTGTATGCTTCTTTTCTTTGGGGAAGATACTCAGCAGGGGAGTAGCTGGGTCAAATGGGACCTCTAGTCCTAGTTCTTTGAGGTATCTCCATACTGATTTCCACAGTGGTTGCACCAGTCTGCA